CCTTCTGAAATGAGCTTTCTTTTTCCCATTTTTAATTCTGTGAATAGACCATAAACAAAAAAATGTAGACACCAAAGTCGTTGACTGTACAGAGCTGTACAGTCTGTACAAACTGTAGAGTTTGGAGAGGTGAAGACTTTAATTATATTAAAAATACCTGCTCAGCTCTTCAGGGAGCTGCTGATAGTGGAGGACTACTTTCTGTTTGCATAGGTCCACAGGTAAAAAGCAGGATGTTGTCATGAGTTCATTGTTCCTCCACTAATAAAAGTGGGAATACAGGTGTGGTTCTTAATTGTGTTTTATTTTGGGACACAGTAGATAAGAAATGCAATTAACATTTTATAAGTGGCCCTTTAAAACACACATAAAATTTTAATCTGTTTTGTTTTTCAGCTGTTGGGCTTTAGTAACCTCCTGTTTAGATGTAATTCCTGTTTGGGGTGGGAACATGCAGGGCAAGGGATTAATTTTAGCTGAATTTCTCTGAGCTGATGGATGCCTTAAAAATAAGGAAAATTTTAAATATGTCGGGCCCTACGTGAAGTGTTTAATGCATAGAGGTTTCTGGTAGAAAGGCCAGTGTCATTGTGTGATTGCTGGAGTGATTTATGTGTGAATAATATGTTCAGAACTGCCAAGCGGTTTATAAGAGTTGATGCAGCTCTTTAAAAAAAAAATAATAAAAAAAAATCTTAGCAACTGTTTAGGTTTGTATTAAATAAAACAGGCAGGGAAAGACAGTATGTGCCTAAAAGCACTAGAGGGAGCCAGGAGGAAGAAGAGGGGAAACCATGAATATGTGTTTGCATTTTTAGGCATAGTTTATACAAAGCATTCATTTAAATCCTCCTGCTTACTTCAGCTTAAATGCAGCTACAGGTTTGCTGCTGCCTCTGGCTGCTCTCTGTTCCCCCATGCTTCACTAAAGAAATTTGAGGTTTCCAGTCCTGAGAAAGGCCAGAAGCTTTGCTGCTTTTTAAATGGCCCTAGGGAAAACCTCCTGCCCCTCTGTAGACTGTCCCCACTTTTTTTGCCTTGTTTTGTATTTGGATAAGCAGCCAAATGTTAAGTTGCCTTTCAGTGCTGGTGGCTGGTTTGGAGGGGGATTGGTGTATGGGCTCAGTTCTGAGCTTGTCTGCCTCTGAGATTACATGAGAGAAAAAGGAGAAAAAAAAAAAAGAGAGAAAGTAGGGGTGTTGGTGTATGTCTGTATTGGGGATCAATTAGCTGAAGAAGAATTTTAATGGCATTAATTTGGAGTGGCCACACTGTTCTTGTACGGGATCTGAGGAAAATGAGTATCTGCAAGCTGGTAGAATAACCTACAAGAACAAAGTTACTGTAAAGTCTCTCATTTTATGAGGTTTTAGAAGTGTTGTTGGGCACACTTTTTATATTGCTTTGTCGTAAAATGAAATGCCTTGAGTTAAAGTGTAACAACTTTATGATGTAGATAATATAAGTAATTTGTTTTCAGTTCCCTCCACCTCGATAAATTGCCATAATGTTGGTATCTTGGGATCTGTAAGAGTAGAACAAAATCCTGGGGCGGGAGGTGGGTGTTCTGTAGTTTGCAGGCTTTAGAGGGAGGGGAAATCTCTTTAGAATCCTAAAGTTTCTCTTCTTGATGATCTAGTATTACACAACTAAACCTGTCACTGTGGAGAATTGAATTTTGATGGCCTGGGGCCTTGGCATTGAGCAGTTTTGGGGGAAAAGAATGGAATTTTTTGTTGTTCCTATGTGAGACTGCTTAGGGCTTTGGAATGCTGGAAGTCATCTTGGAGGAGGTAGACAGACTGGAAGTGGGTGATTAAATGAATTAATATATATGTACTGTGTGTTTATCATCCGCCTCTGTAATTTATTGCTACTACACATTGTTCAAGCTCCCTAATTTCTCTTTTGCACCTTAGAAAATAAATGGACAGGGCAGGAATAATGGACTGGGGTTTTCTTCCTCTGGTCTTTATTAGATGGCATGATTTTAAGTTACGAAAACAAGGACAAACATTTCTCAAAAGTACTCTAACCATGCTTTAGCCTGAGGACTGTGCTCGCTTTAAAGGAAACAAATATAATGGAATTTAAATATGCGGAGGCTGGCGTCCTTTAGCAGGGCACAGAGATTTGTTTTCAGTGTACTTTGAGACTGTAAAGAATTGTTGGCTGTTCATAATTACGTCATTCCATGTTTGAGATGGTGACAAATTATGAATTGAAGCAAACATTTCTTTTGAAATATTTAATAACCTCTTGGCAGCAAAAAAAAAATAACAGGTAAGTGCACTAAGTAATTACGGCTTAATTCCTGTTGGATGGTTCAAAGCCTTTTTCCTGTCATCTGAGAATTAACTGCACTGAAGATGAAACAGAGTATTGTAAAAGCAGAATTTTTTTTTCCCTTACCCCTTTAGCTTCTCTGCTTTGCACCGTTTCTCCTGCTGCAATGCAGGGATGGGGGCAGGCATGTTTCTTGCTCACTCCACGTGTAGAGGCCTCCTATTAAAGTCCAAAAGTATTACCTCAGGTGGAAGACCGCAGAATTGAACTACGAAGTGAGTACATATTACATTTATTCCTCAGAAGCAAGAGAGCAGGCACAGTTAGTCTGAAACAGAGGGTAGTCATTGTCGAGATAAAAGTTCTTATGCTTCCAAAGGGCTGTTTGCTCAGAATGTGCCGTGAATACTTCAGGGAACTCAGTGATACACAGATTATGCAGTGGGGGCCTCTTATTGTGCAACTAAACCAGCTTTTTTTTTTTTTGTGATTATTCAATCATTTTTGTGATTGTTCAACTGCAGAGTAGGACCTGCCAATGTTTAACTCCATGGGGTTAAGAGGGCTGTCTTTTTACATGTTGAAGTAGTGGTGGATGCGCTATGGAAAGGATGTAATTTCCCTCCGGAGAGAAAAAAAGGAATTAGTCCCTTAAAAACACACAGTGCAAATTAATGACATAACATGCCTAGATTTTTGTGTTGCCTTAAGAAAAGCCGGTACCTTCTGTGGCAGCCCAAGGGCAGAGTTTTTATCGTTTGACTTTCATTATGGCTTTTACCCGGCAGCCGCGGTATCCAATAAAAAAGAAGGGGCCAACCCCAGAGCGGGTGTCAGGTGCCATAGAGCGCATTGACCCTTCCCTCTGCCCACCCACCTGGGGCAGAGCAAGGCACCCATGAATCAGTACCTGGTGCTGGTTTTTCATCCCTCAAGTCCTTTATGTCATGAAATGTTGGCCTGTGCTGGTTGTCCCCATGCCTGCTAAGTTTTGTGGAGAAAGATGCCGCTTTGAAGGGTGGCTTGTCCCTCTCCGAGCTTGGTGTCCACAGCATCCCTCGCTGAGCTCTCTGGTGTCCTGGGGGTGAAACCTAGCCCAGATGTCTAACGTGAAGCCTTCAACTCTGTGCTGGAGAAATATCTCACTACAGCTCTGGAGCAGAAATTGCCACTTGTTGTCACTTGTTGCAGCGCTTTTGGGTGCAGTGGGAGCAGCGCCAGTGCCTGTTCCCAGTACCATTCAGGGCAGCCAAAAAAATATGGGGCTGAGGTATTTTGCCGGTCTGCTAGGTAAAGCATGAGCACAAACGGTGGCATGCTTTGCAGGTAGGTTGAGAGCACAAATCTGCTGATCTGAGGTCAGCTCAGCACCTCCCGTGCGAAGGCAGGAGCAAAGGCAGGGAGGTTATGGGAGCAGGGACTGCTGCTGCCTCCCTGAGCCTGGGAGGGATAGGGAGGGACTGAAGCTGGGCTGATCCTTGGCTCTTCCAAGTGAGGATTTGGCATGCTCCTCTTTGCCTCGGTTAGGGGCTGGGATTGCTAGCAAAGGACGTTAGCCCTTTAAAAGGTGGCTGTTTCATCTGTATTCCTCAGAAAGGAGGTTTCTCCTGCTTTTTTGGTTGTCTCTAATGTAGGGCTGTGCAGCTACTGCAGGTGAGCCCTAAATTCATATCTGATGTGACTCTAGTGCTGCTATGCAGCGAGGGCTGAAATTAGTTCCCCAAGAAAATGTAGTATACAGAATTATTTTTAATAATGGGGGATTTTGGTGGGGCTTTGCCCTGAGAAAGAGGGAACAGGAGGTGAAATCTCGCACTGAGCTGGTGAGCTCAGCATAAGTACGTGTTGGGCTCTCATCCCTGCTGGGTCTCGGCTGAGATCCGGGTGAGGATGGGATTTAAATCCCATCCTGCAGAGCCCACGGTGGCTGTTTGAGCATCCTCCTTTCCCTGCTCTCAATGCCTGTTAGACAGCCAGGGACGGGGGGGGAAAGGCACTCGCAGTTCCCTTTGGGAATATGTGGTGCTTGCTGAGAAATAGCTGCCAAGAGAGAAAAGTGAAGCATTAAAAAATTCCTTTAATTGCATTTTGCTGTATTTCTGTGCTTGATAATAGCTGGTAGCACTGGTTTCAGAATATTTTAATTGTATGTTTTGTTTTTTTTTTCCCTTCACATTAGCCTTTGAAAAAATACTTCAGGCTAATGCATTTCTTCAGTGGGATTTAAATTTTGC